CCATATTGATGGCAAATATAGGCTTATATCTGATCATTTATGGACTTTACTGTGTCAAATCGTGCTTGTATTGATTTGATAATCAACTTGTATTTTTTAAATTCACTAGTTTCGTGGTCCGCTTGACCAATTAATATATTACAACTAATTAAGGTTTTTAGTTGAGATAAAAAAGGCAATGGCACGAGCGGGATTCGAACCCACGATCTTCGGCTTGATACGCCGCTGCTCTACCACTCGAGCTATCGTGACCTCGATCCACTCGGACACCAACTTCCCATCTCAACCACACCTTTCGAATTTTCCCTCCTTTTTGCCATTTTTCAAATGTCGTGTAATCAATTTGATTCTCGGCGACAAATGAAATGGCCACGGAGAACTTTAATGAAGTATACTTCATTTTTAAACGTATTAAATTCACTAGTTTCGTGGTCCGCTTGACCAATTAATATATTGAGAATCGAGAATCAAATTGATTACACGACATTTGAAAAATGGCAAAAAGGAGGAAAAATTCGAAAGGTGTGGTTGAGATGGGAAGTTGGTGTCCGAGTGGATCGAGGTCACGATAGCTCGAGTGGTAGAGCAGCGGCGTATCAAGACGAAGATCGTGGGTTCAAATCCCGCTCGTACCATTGGCTTTTTTATCTCAACTAAAAACCTTAATTAATTGTATTTTTTAATGCATCTAGACCGATTGAATCGTTGTCAACAACGTACATCTTCGCTGTAATTTATGCAGTAACCATTGTTAGAATTATGTTTTGAATCACTATAGGTCTGAATAATAATGTTTCACCCTTGTAATAACTATCATGCAACTGTATGGCAGAACCGAACGCGATTTGGCACGCGTCTGGGGTGATTCGAGACGATGGGTTGCTGATGGCTCTGCCTACCTAGACTCTCTCCGGGTGGTTGCTGTTGTCCGTGACATGTTCACCGGCGAACATCTCGTTATGTTCTTGTTGGAGAGATACCATGAACTGGAGTGTCTCGGCAAAACGGTACTTATTCTTTGGTTACCCGGACACATTGGTCAGGAGAGGAACGAAAAGGCAGGACATTCCAAACCCCGGACTTTAATACTGTAATAGGCCCTCTTACTCTAAAAATGCTTTAAAAAATTTGATTAGAAAAAGCGGCAGGGTCGTTGGGCCGGATCGGTTCGTAGAAAAACGGCCATCCGCTCCCGATTAAGGAGAGGCCAGACGAGGTTGACACACGGACATTTACCTTTGGTGCCCATGTATGCGTATGGGATGTTGAGAAAGGTTGCTCGATGTGCCCAATCTAATTAAAAGGTGTAATTCCTTATTTCCATGAAGAGAGCGCGTATGAGATCAGATATGAGAATCATTCTTGACCACGGCAGCGAGTATCTTGGGTCCCTGTTTCTATTCAGGCAACAGGGTTGTTTTATTGTATATATATTAATGATAATTTTATGTGTTAAGAGTGAATGTATTTATTGGTGTGAACTGCAGGTGAGAAGGAGAATGACGGCAGATTGAGTACCCTTGACTAATCTTAAAAGAATGGCTTGCAAATAAGAAAGAATATATGACTTTATGCGTGAGTGATTTAGGGTTAGGAAGAGATTGCGTTGCTGCTGAAATGACATACCTGTTGATATTACCGGGAGCTCAATCTCGGTGGTTGGAAGGATAACACGAAGGCCTGACTCCGAGACTGCCAACATCCGGGGTGGCTGACTTACGAGGCCCGCCGGCAATTCATTGTAAAGTATAAAAGCTGGAATTGCCGATAGACTGCATGAAGTATTGGGCTTATAAACACGGCAGAGAGTATCTGCGTTCCCTGTATTCCGTCATTGTCATTTTTACAACATACTAAGCATCATTTTACAGGAGAATAAAGAACATCACTAATTGGGTTTCACCAAGCTTTCGGCGAATGTTCCGCCATCTTCAGGGCCTAATTTATTAAAAACAAAATTTACATGAACAGAGTTACATAACACATCTTATATAAATACATTACAAAATTCAATTACGTTTTTTACCCCGTTGTTAGGAAAATTAAATTTATTGCACATGTTTGTTGTTTTTTTGAAGTGAAGGTGAAAATGAATCTATATACTAAAAACAAAAACAGTTTTGCTTAAAGTCTAGTGACACTCATCGGTCCATCCTTTGGTTTCATTTTTTCATAAGTTAACACTCATCTCAGATACATGTATATCTTTATCACAGATACGTTATATATATACAACTTTTCACTGCTTTTTAACTTAAAATTATGATTTAACTAGCTACAACTATGTACAAGGATTCGAAGAAAATTGAGATACATATCGGACGGTTATAACACGGTAAGGGACCCACGTATAAATTTAAAAATAACCTTAGATGTTTGCATTCAAACCTAGAGGCGAAGAAGCCAATAAACTCACAGTCGAGTGTGATTTACAAGGTGTCATGTGCGGGTTGCCATGTCCAATATGTTGGGCAAACAAAACACAAAGTCGAAATAAGAATGAACCAACATAGACTGAACTGTATAAATAGAAAGAAAACCACGTGATTGGCAACACATGCGACGGAAAGTGATCGTTTCTTCAGGTTGGACTCCCATGGGATCCTGGGCAGAGAGTTGGACATGGAGAGACGACTACTTTTCGAAAAAGTCTTTGTTCATGGAAAACACTTGTAATTTACAAATGGATCGACTGGGCTCCATCATGGCATATTCGGGAATCCTGCAACTGTTCGAAATAAAGCGCAAAGTGACGTTGGTGAGTCTAATCACACCGGGATTGTAACAGGGATGGGTCCCTTACCGTGTTATAACCGTCAGATATGTGTCTCAATTTTCTTCGAATCCTTGTACATAGTTGTATCTAGTTAAATTATAAATTTAAGTTAAAAAACAGTTGAAAAGTTGTAAATATATAACGTATCTGTGATAAAGAAATACATGTACCTGAGATTGAGTGTTAATTTATGAAAAAATGAAACCAAAGGATGGGCCGATGAGTGTCACTAGACATTAAGCAAGACTGTTTTTGTTTTTAGTATATAGATTCATTTTCACCTTCACTTCAAAAAAATAACAAACATGTGCAATAAATTTAATTTTCCTAACAACTGGGTTAAGTAGGTAATTGTATTTTGTAATGTATTTATATAAGATGTGCTATGTAACTCTGTTCATGTAAATTTTGTTTTTTAATAAATTCGGCCCTGAAGATGGCGGAACATTCGCCGAAAGCTTGGTGATACCCAATTAGTGATGTCCTTTATTCACCTGTAAAATGACCTCAAGAAGATCCAATACAACATCAGTTTAAACTATGTAGGTCGATCAACGTCAACTAGAATAATGAGAATCTTTGATCTACCGACCCTCAATTAGGTTAGTTATGTAATAGGTGTGTTAGTTATGTAAATCAATTGTCAATAATCAATAACTATTATCTAATATACGTAGACGTTTTTATTATAGTTTTCAATGTGGTTTTTATACAAACAATTCGAAATTTTTATACTTATACTAGATATACAAATAAACAATAAAAACTTTGGCTAACTGTTAATTTATAAGAAAGTACTTCTTAATTTGTAAGTACCTACCTGTACCTACGAAATAGAATTACATGGCACACAAAATTCCATTTAATCAATTTATCCAACGAATAAGCAAACCTACAAAATTTCACCGAGTCAATCCATCGTTTACAAACGATAGTGGCCAAGAGAATTCGATTTGGAGATATTGGAGTTGATTAAGAACGCGATAATTTCAATTTATAATATAAAATTACGTCGAAGAACTACACACTCATCGCATAACTCGGACTTATAAGTATCAGTTACTCTGGGTTTCTCATATTTTTTTAAACCTAGCACACACGAAATATTTTGTTCTTTTCAAAAGGTCTTTTTGACTTTTTTGGTTTGCGTCTACAAAACAACTCAATTATTATTAAAAAGTAACAAATATTCAACGGTGACGGGCAAAAACTCAGATATTCGTAAATGGAGCCTTTTTCTAATTCGGTTTTATAAAAAGCTCTCAGGAATTGTTTAAATTATTATGCAAAACTTCAATATAGATTTTTTATTTCATGTTTTCTCTGATTTGTTCTTTGATGTGCTGATTTTGATTTGTTCCATTTACAACCGTAACTAATGCTTATTCTTGCTTATCGTGCGTCAAATTTTCATGTAAAGACCCTTGGAACTCACTTCCGCTCTGAAACGACTACCCAGGAGGCTAATTGATTCGGAATCATTAGGGCGATTATGGATAGTAGGATAATGGACCGGCCGAGGTACAACGAAGGCTCCATTAAGGCTGACATCAAGATGCCAGAAGCCACTTCGGCACAATATGAATTTGATGGAGTGCTAAACCGACAGCAAAGCCTTGTTAATGCATTGTATTTACTAATACACCTGGGGTATTCTGTGTTTAACACGTAATATATTTTAAACACTGTAAGTAATGCAGTCAGCAACAGTTTGCCGTTTAGCGTGTATATCACGCAAATCACTATGGGATGTTTTAAATTCTAATTTTCTTTATAAACATGATCTCATGGGTTGAAGAAATCGCCTGGGTGGGGGATTTCGTCTGACCTCTTGGGGCCCCACCCTCTCATTCTGAGGCAACAGGTGTGGATTGTTTTCCTAATTGTCGGCTAATCTTTGTATTTCTTTGATTTTAATTAGGTTTTTCAAGTTCCTTGGCAATTGACGCGAATCCGGATGAATAAAGATCAGCCATAACCATCATTAAGGTAATTAATAATCAACTAATGGAACGATAATGAAGTAAAATCAAAGACATTACAAATCTCATTAAAATGCCTATATCTTATTATTGTTTGGTCATCGAATCATTAAATAATGTTAAACAATACAGGAATATTCGACACAAGTAAACCCAATTTTCAAAATACATTTATATAGGAAAAGATGAAACTTAGAGAGACTGTGAAAAACTCATGTTTTTTTATAGTAAGAAGTACTTACAGTGAATCTGTAGTGTCCAGTAATCATAGAGGACTTCGCTGGAAATGGCCGGATTTTCAGCCCTGCAAGAAAGGTTTTTGCCATCATCGTCTTTGCTAGCAACGAACGATAGGGTGCTAGTCGTCGTATTCCCATCGCTGGAAGTCTGAAATCATAAAAGCATTATGACTAACATGTCCCAAAAATATCTTGGCATTTATATGATAATTAAAATTGATTGACGTTAAAACGCAATAATGTAATAATCGAAGACCTATTTTGATTCAATTATCGTTAAATGACTTTAATTTTCAGGATATTCCATTAAGAAAATAATTAACAAATTTTAACACTTTTAAAGTTTTCATTCATCATGATACTCGACTACCTGAAATTAGGAAGCAGTTGTGACACTTGTCGAGGATTCAAGGATGCATAGGGGAAGACAAAGGAATGATCATTAATCATAAAAGAGCTTGCGCATCACTCTCAAAGAAGATTGTTCATGTTTCAGCAAAATTAAATCAGAAGTATAAAACAGAATGTTTTTGATTTCAATTTTTTTTAGTGTTACATAAAGAACTGTTGAATAATACCAAGAATAAATAATTTTGGATTTATTTTATTTATCTTAATCTTCAGTTTATCTTTATTTATTGCACTTTAGCCAGTTAGGTGCTTATCAATAGGCATTATTATACAATATTGAACTAACTAATTAATGTATACTCAAGCAGACACGCTTACATTGAAAAGGGAACAAGGATTGAGGAATTGAGAATTTTGTAAGTCCGGGGAAGGAAAGCATCAAGCAAATGTAGCCACATCAGCATTTTTACCGAGTTAAACTAGGTGACATGGCTAAATCTATCTCTAACGAACCAAAAAATATTTTACTTTAAAAACAACGATCTACATAATTAATTAAGGTTTTGGTTGAGATTAAAAAAGTCAATATCACAAGCGGGATTCGAACCCACGACCTTCGGCTAAATACGCCGCTGCTCTAACTTCTTGAGCTATCGTGACTTCAAGAAGTCCTTAGGGCTTTGATCCCGCTTGTGATACTGACTTTTTATCTCAGCCAAAACCTTAATTAATTGAAAAGAATTAATTCGGTCAAGCGGACCACGAAACCTAATAAAAGTGATCTACATAATAATTAAAAAAACATGGTAAAATAAAAATAAAATCAAAAGAAGAAGAACCTTGAGGTTTTCTATATTTTACAGATTGAACTGTACGGGAATGAACAGAAATGGGTGTGGAAATGAACAACATATTGCACTGACCTCCGCTATCACCCACTTTTAAACCAAATTACTAGTCATAAAACATGTACACAAGAGATGATAATAAAAAATCTCAAGTGTGCAACTATATAATAATATCAGATAGACAGTCAAGTCTGAAGGCTCTCTACAGGTCAAAACTGGTCTGAAACGGCTTAAATACTATAAATAAACTGGGCTCGACCAAATAGCCCAACGGTAAGATGGGTTCCAATTCACAACGAAATTTTCAGGTAACGAGGCAGAAGATAAAACTAATAACAAGCCAATAAATTTTTTGGGTTCGAGATGAAATTGAAATCAATTAATAGATATAGTGTTTAAACCTTGTAACTTTTCCTACCACATTATTTGTTATTGTTTGCAACATTTTAAAAATTAATTAATCGAATTTTCATTTATGGCAAAGTAGGAAAGTTATCAGAATGAAGTACCCCTTCTGAAGGATTTAAGGACGAAGAACCTATTGGTATCCTGTGCTTACGTTGCATTTTACACCACACATTTTCGAAATGTCTCAGGTAGACAGGAACATTTTGGATCTATCATTTATTTTTCTTAGTTCTAGTACTGATCTTTTTATTTGACTTCAAAATTCTTACCAGGTAAGAAGAAAGTAATAATATCTAGATCTTGTTTTGATGGCATTCTTCTTAATTTAGAGTACTTCTTTAGCAGAACAAATTAGTTTTTCTTTGAGTGATTTTTATATTACATCCGACTTTAGACAATAATCTAATAGTTTTTGTAGGTCGAACTGCAATTACATTTATTTCAAATTTTATCTTCTTATAGTTCTGTGAATATAGAAGCCAGCAGATGTATTTGATTTTGTTCTAGTTAAAAAAAAAATAATATGCGTTTTAATGAATTTTGTGATAACATTGCGTCGTTTCCCTAAATCCTTTGAAAATTGAAATGGGCATTTTTCTAAATGATTATTCGGAAATCGTGAGATGCGGTCTGGTGTGATGTAGGTTTCAGAAAAACATTTTCTTTATCGTGCCAACGTTTCGATCTTTATTGAGATCATCTTCAGGGCCTGGGATTTACAAACATGGTTTACATTTAACGAATACATGTACTCACTCAAAGTGTTTGTAAAGTGAGTAGAAATTCTTGGATTGAATATAAAAAATATTTTTGGGTTGCATAAATTCCCTTTTTTCCACATCCTGCATGTATTTGTTAAATTAAACAATGTTTGTAAATCCCATGCCATGAATATGATCTTAATAAAGAAAGAAACGTTGTCATGATAAAAAAAATGTTTTTCTGAAACCTACATCACACCAGACCGCATCTCATGATTTCCGAATAATCATCGACTAACTCACTAATCATCACACATTTTTCTAAATATTGTATAAAGAAGGCTAATTTTTGGGACCTTTTGTTATGGCATCCGACTCCTATTGCCACGCTAGCGGTCCTGGATTCAAATCCTGCATAGCCTATGAATTTTTTAATTATGAACAGTGCGGTAAAGTATTGTAAAGTAGTGTTTGATTTCTCTCACACACCCAACTGATAGTTATAAGTAAACAAGTTTTTAAATTTCTTGCGCTATTTCTTTGGGAGCTACCAGCTTCGTATTTTTGTATTCTGAAGTGATAGTTACTAAAAAATTATATTATTTTGTGCTGTCATGTACCGTCCTATTTTTTAATGGAGAACTTTAATATGACAGTTTATTGTATTGTTGCAAAAAATATGTAATCTGGAAAGCACAAATTGAGAGGACAAGGATAGGAGAATTTTGATAATATTTGCCACCTTCTATGCTAGTACAACGATAATATATTTTTCAAATAATATGGAGAATATTTTCCAAAAAGTTGTGGTAGACGTGTAAAATCAACACTCACGTCTGTAGGCGAAGTCGTACTTTAGAAATGTTCACACTTTTGGCCGGGTTTTCATTTAATTTACAATTTGATGTAAAATCCTTTATAAACATTTATAAGAAGACGACATTAAATTATTGTTTCCAGCGCGCTGACCCGGGAAATAATAAAGCCGGTCCTGTTTTCGCCGGAAATGGATGAAAGTGCGTGAAAATCCCCTCGCGATGAATAACACATAAGGAGAACTCATAAGCTGAAATGACTTGTAGGAAGAGAAAATCGGAGGCTGAAAGAAAATACGAGTAATACCCATTTAACACTATATTTCCTCTGAGAGCCCTGTTTGCGAATTAGGGCTTACCGTCAGCCGGATAAACCCACTGGACCGATCGATACGGAAGAAAGGTCAAGATTGCTTCAAGTTTTTAAGTTTTATATATATATCTTTGAGTGTATTTGTGTTTTTTTTTGTTTTAAATAAACAGACTCTGATGATGGTGAAATAAACCACCTAAAGCTCGGCACAGCCCAGAAATTTGTTTTTGCTACATATGCCCTCTAAAGAAGATCTTGTCACTCGAACTTAATTTATTATGTTATTTTTTTTAAGTTTTTCCGGGTTTTCTTCGTTTGGTCTATTTTTCTAAATAATGTGTAGTTAAATTAAACCCAGACTATTTTTTATCAGTAAAAAATAATATATCTTTGTGTGTATTTGTGTTCATTTGTTTTTTTTTGTTTTAAATAAACAGACTATATATATAAAGTTACAAGTTACTGTGTGAAAGTTGTTTTTTTGCTCCAAGAGACTTCTAAAGAAAATCTTACCACCCAAACTTAGCTTGCTGCAGGCCGGTAAACATCCAAAACGAACATAACAAGATACAGAAATAATTGTAGGCCAAAAGCGAGTAAAAATTTGGTCATCTTTACCTCTGTCGTAATTTATTTTCCGAACTTTGTTTTTAGTCAACTACAATTTTTATCTAGTAATTTATGAATAGGAAAAAAGTTAAATAAAATAATATTATAATGTTTATTTACTGACTGCACTTTACTTTAAACATTGTGCTAATAACGCACATGTAAAGAAAAAATAGAAAATCCGTTCAAAGATACATAGATGATTTTTGGATCGTGAGAAAAAAGGCTGAGCCTCTATTTCATTACACAGCATGAGAAAAATGTTACTATCAAGAGACAGCGAGCATCAGCATTGGGGATATTAATTAAAAAAACCATATAGAGGTATACAGTCTAGAGCCAATAAAAATAAATTTAAATATAATATCAATTAATTTGAAATATAAATAAACGACAAAATATAAATGAATATGAAATTTAGAATAAATATAAAAGAGTCAGAAATGAAGGTAGATACATGTATTTTTATGTATATATGCAAATCAAGGTCGTTGAAGGCTGATTTCAATTCAATATGTTAAGTCGTTCTTTGATGGTAAATTGAAAGAAAATTTCAGGCACTTGTAAACAAATTTCATCAACAATGTATTTTCATTTTGCAATTGTTTCCTCTCCGAACTTCTCAGTTATTTAGCGATCATCTCATCGATGTGTTTTCTGCAGTATGGTATGGTATAACAGGATACTAGGAAGCGGGGTTTGTACGCCCCAGGCACTGCAGCCTTCTGGCTTATTGTACCTTCCTATTTCCTTAGTTCAGTCAATAGACTCAATCCTTCTTCTTAAAAGTATCAGGTCATTGACTGTAGCTGCTGCAATTTGATTCCCTAAGTTTTTTCCGTACTTTAGTTTAAACCTTCATTGAGCTGTTGCTTCGCATTCGAAGATGATATGAGTGGCTGTTTCCTCCTCCTCATTACGTAATCTGCAAATGGGATCATCGCTGAATATACTCATGTTTTGTAGATGTTTCTCAGATGCCAGTGACCGGTTAGTAGTCCTCCCTCTCCTCTGAGTTTGTCCCTCTCCAATTGCAGCAGTGTTTTTGCCTGTCTCGGTGAGGGTTGTTTCATCATAAGTTTACTATGTCTAGCACCGCTAGA